AGAGCGCCTTGGCTGGTTCTTCCAGTCGCGACCCGTCTGGCCCTGCAGATTCGGCTCAGTTCTCTCTCCTCCTCGCGGGGCCTGTGACCAGCCAGGGCTTCAGAGGCAAGAGAGGGGACAGAGGCTCAGCTTTCTCGTCATTGCTTTCTCCTCTCTGCACCCACTCCGGCTTTCTTTTTACTTCCAACATTTGCTCTTCTGAAAAAATATTGGTCTCTTGCAAGGCGTTCTGAGTTTTTGCAGTTTCTGGAGACTTCCTTGAGTCCTCCCTTGAGTATGTATCCTGTTTCCATTTATTGATCATTTATAAAACTGGGGGCCACAAAATGGGATCAAATTAAAAAGCAGATTTCAGTTGATAATAAATGCACCAGCCTGTTTGGCCGGGACTGGGGGTTGGTGGGGAGGGCCTCAAAGAAGATGGCACGGGGGACGTATGAGAAAAAGCTCGACTGCAGGTTCATGGCAGCCACGTTAACCCTTTTGACACTTCCTACGCACGTCCCTTTTGGGAATGATTCTGATCATGACTGAGACTCACCATTAATATGTCTTTCTGTTTTATTTCCACATCTGTATTTTCACTGATAATCAGTAACCTGTAAATATTAACTTACATTCTAGCTACAGGCTAAAACAGGATTTGAAATATACATGGTAAGTTTACATACTTGGCTCCGTATTGTTTTTTTCATGCTACATAACCAAACTTTATTTTAACATAACCATTTAACATCCTGCTTAGAAAATACATTTTTTAAATGTTTAATAATTTTCTATAGCAAGCAATGTACAATAAACATTATTTTCCTAAAATATTTTCAAGCACCAAAGATCCGCTGTTAAAAGTGTTTATTTATTTAACCAATAGAAAAAGAGAAAATTAAAAGCAAGCAACGCTCTCTCTCTACACACAAATCTACAAAGGCTTCTTGTGCACGTTCATCTAAAGATTTTGCTCCAATAAAATATGATCATTTTTATCATCTACACCTACACTTAAACGTTACTGAATTGTTCTCCAAAATCAGCAGCTGTCCCGCTAAGGGTCTGTGAGCTGTCCAGAGCCGATCCGTGTTCGAAGGGGGAGATCCAGCTGAGACCCCCGCCAGGGGAACCTCCACGGCGGACTCAGATGTGAGGCTGGAGCTCTACAGCAGGAGCTGCAAAGGGGGAGGCTGGAGAGGGACTTCTTGGGGCTCCCAGGCTGGATCTCTGGCATGGAATCCTTCCCCCCCGCGACCCATAGCAAACCTGAAGCTGACCTCGGAGAAGAGCCCCCAGCTACTTGCAACCTCTTTCTCCCATTGGGGGAGATGGGCAGCATACAAATAAAATAAAATAAAATAAAATCAATAAATCAAACAAACCCTCTTTCTCTTCACACCTGCAGGAAAGCACGATCCTTTCCCAAGGGTGATTTTGGAACTGCTGCTGCTGTTTGCCTTGAATATCGGGCGAGCCAGTCACCACCTCCTTAGTGGGTCCTCTCAGAAGTGGTACTTGTGAAAAAAATCTTGGGATCATACAGCTGGTTGCAAACAGAATGGGCCGGCAGCGTGAAGCCGACGCCGTTTTAGGCTGTGTCAACAGAAGTATGATTTCCAAATCGCAGAAAGTAGCAATTCATCCCTACTCAGGGAAGAGCACCAAGGTGATCTAAAATCACGGTGCCACAAAGGGACAAGGAGCAACTGGGGAGATGACTGAGAAGGGCCATGGGGCCCTCCTCTGTCCCCCCCATGCAAGTTTTTCAGACCAGCTGTTAAGCTGGTCTGGTCTCTGAGCAAAACCTCATGGAAAAACCTCGTGCTCCTGCCAGGCATGGCGGGAGGGGACCTCTGAAACCCTCCCAAGTTCAGCTGGAGAGCTTGGAGCTGGACAAAGGTCTGCCCCCCCGCCCCGGTCCAGAACAGGTTACCTGCTGAAGTCTTGGCAATCCATCCTCTTGACCTCTGGGGCAGTCCTTTTGCCCCTTCCCCCTTGCACTGATCTCCCCCATAGTGTTGGGTGCTTGGAGCTCCCAGGCGGGGGCAGGGCTCCTGGGAACCCCTCCTTTCACCTGGAAGCAGAGCAAGAGGCACGGGGCAGAAACTGAGTGCCTGTGCCAGGAACCCAGCTTGGCTTCCAAACAGGAGGAAAGTGGAGAGGTCTCCAAGGGGTTGCAGATGTCATGAGTACAACTCATTCTCAGTGCAACCCCCCCCCCCCCCCCCTCATTAATTTTTATTCTATTTTTTTAACTTATAATATTTTTTTTTTTTTTTTTTTTT